AATGAAATCTTTTGGATAAAAAATGTATACCATTAGAAACATGGAAACTTTATCTTTAAAACAATCTCTTGATCTCTAATTTCCATTGAGCCATTTGTGAGATACAAGCTTCCAAAGTAGGCTACCTGAAACTGTTTCAACACTTAGCCAAAAATCATAATTCTTCAAGTGAGTTGAGATGGCTTCTTTGGCAAGTAATTTTGAATTGTGGATTGATCCAATTGGGATCGTATCAGATTTTGTGCGATTCTTGCTAGGAACGAAAGTGAAAGGAAGAGTAGGGTTGGAGTGAGTTCTTAAAAAGAGAGCATTGATCATTAAAAGTAGTGTGACAAATGTTTCTCTCTAGTACCCCTAAAAAAGAAAAGAAAAAGAAAGAAAAGGAAAGTAGAAAGAAAGAAAAAGAAAGAGAAACGAAAAAAAGAGGTAATAAAACGGGATAAATAAAATAGAGAGTGCCACAAGGAATCAAAGAGTATGCTCTAAGAGAGGTTTCTTGGCACTCAAGCCATTGAAACCTTGATTCGGGTCCAATTGTACACATTTTGCCCCTCATTTCTTGATAGGTTGACTTTGCATTTCATCATTCCTCGACATATTTCACGCTGGGTTGTGCTTGTTTTGATACATTTTAGGTCCTAGCACGTGTGGAAGGGTCGGGGAAGGTTTCAGGACGATTGGAGGTCAACAAGCGCAAAAACCGAAGAAAAGTCCAACGTGACAATGAAGCGCAGGCGTCCAGGAACCAGCGCAGTTCACGGTCAGAGCTGCGAGTTCACAGTCTCCAGGATCGTGAACTGGGACCACAAACCGTGAACAATGAGGCGTCCAGGGGGGTTCCAGAGGTTACTGACGACTAGGCAGTTCACGGTTGCTAAGACCATGAACTTTGAGCACAAACCGTGAACCCCGGGAAGTGAAGCGGTGCGTTTTGGCCACGATACCAACTTCACATAGGCGTTTAGGTGTTCACGGCCGTGAACTGGAAGGCCGTAAACTGGGTGCGACCTTAGTATAAATGGAGAGCTGAAAGGAAGAAGAAGGGAGCTTCATTTTTAGGTTAGGTTTTCATTTTTGAGAATAAAGAGGATTCCAGTGAGAGGTTAGGGTTTCTTCTAGAGTGAGAAAGTGAAAATCATAGGAGGAAGAAGGAGCTTTGGGCTTGTTCCTAGCTAGAGGATTGAAGATTTCTTCATCTCAAGAGTGTCACACGCAACAAGGAGGAAAGATTAGCATCACTCCACGGTTCTTTCTTCCCCTTTTGTTGTTTTCTCTTTTCTAGCTATAGAATAGCCTACCTACTTACTTGGGCATTGTGGACATCACTTAAATAATATCAAATCTTAAATAAACTTTTATTTTTGTTTAATGTTAGCAGTATTAAATCTTAAACAATATTATAACTAAAACAATACTCGCCAATCTATGATTGAGTTGTCACCTTGCCTCGATTGAGATTATCTATAGCTGTTAGGCCAAGTATAAGGATACGTGGGCCTGAGGCCCATGGTTACAAAGCCCACAGGCAAAACAGACCTAGCAAGGGCGGTCCACCCTGCTTATAAGGAAAGACCGCCCGACACTGACGTATGCACGCGTCACTGACCGCCCGACACAACAGGACGGCGTCCCTCCAAACAGGGAAAGGAAGATATCCATTCTGACTTCGCATTTAATGAGCCTGCAGGCGTCCCGAACCGCCTGACAGCACTTCGAGTTAGTATAAATAGCCCCTAAGGGGCAGCATTTATGGTGACTTCAACCAACCCTATTCTCTCTCTTGTTTACTTTACCTCCACTTCTCTCTCTAACTTAGGCATCGGAGGAGGTCCCAGGATCCCCCTGTGGACCTTTCTTGCAGGGTTCCGGAGACCGCCCTCTCCTATCGAAGCCGCTCGAGGCCATGGTGTCTCACACAACCGCCTGACACTATCCAGGCACAAACAATAGCTAATCTTGATTAATACAATTTGATAGTGACGAGTTGAATAAGTTTGACTTTGATTGTGGGCTGAATGAATCTTTTTAAGAAATTGAGTCTAGTGAGAATTGGGCCTCATTTCGAAGCAATAACTATTAAAATATATAACTATTACATCAAATGTCAATCAAAATTACTAATAAATTACAATACATCACTATATAAGACTACAAATACACATGCTAAAAGTTTAATACATAACAAGATTGAACAATAAATTACACCCATGACATCAGTAAACTCTAGTCCAAGACCAAGTCAACTCAGTCCAGTACAAGTCAACCCTGGTCAATGCTAGAAACCTGAGTGGTCTAACCAATTGCCCAAACCTGATCCAGCTGATGCCTGGTACTGTAGCATGCTTGCTTTGCAAGCAGCTTTGAATAAAACAAGCAATCAGGCTTTTGCAAAAGGGGACTTCGGCTGGAGACTTCTCTTTCCTCCTCGGAATGACGAGGGAGCTCTTTTGCTCCTTCTTCTTTCCCGCGCCTCCACTTCCTGAAACAAAAGGGCAACTTATATTCAGTTCCTCTTCTTCTTTTTCCTTTCCCCACCAACAAGAGTTAAGAGAGGGAAAACAGAGTAATCATCTCCTTTTTCTCACCAACGAACAAGGAGGCTTGGCCACTTCTTCTTCTTCCTTTTCCCCTTATCCAGAAACAATAGAAGAGAGAGAACGAGCAGAGAAAAGTAGCAGCATCTTCTTCTTCCTTCACCGTTTCTTCTTATAGACAAAAATCGAGATGCAGACACAAGAAAAACTCTCACACTTCCTTCCTTAGCCACTCACAACAACCACTACATCAACCATCCCAACAGAAAAACAAACAAGAAAAACTCTGCAAAAAAACTTTACTTTGTCTTGATCCAAAGCCAAACCCACTGCTGCAAAAGGAAGAGTCCAGCCGCTAAAGGGGAAAATGAAAAGAAGGTAGAGACATCCAAAATACAAACATCAAAGTCGGTATACTACTAAATCTAACAATAATATTACTCATAGAGGTGGCAATTGGATCGGATTCGTGGATTCGTGGATTGGATTGGTGAATCCATGGATCAAATGGATTGGATCTAATGGATTGGTGGATTCATGATTGGATCAAATGGATTGGTGGATTGATCCATGAATCCAAATGACATCAAAGGCTTGGACCAAAATGTAAAATTTGAAAAGTTTTGGTACTAAAATGTCATAATGAAAAATTTTAGGTACCAAAATGTAATTTTCCAATGATATTTTTCGTATAAAAATATAAATTTTAGGTACCAAAATGTAAAATATAAAAAATATAGGTACCAAATTGTAATTTGCCATTTGGATCAATGTATTGATCCATGAATCCACCAATCCAATTGGATTTTGATCAAATGGATTGGATTTAAATGGATTGGATTAGGTGGATAATTTGGTGGATGGATTGTATTGGATTCATGAATTTGGATCATAGTTGCCACCTCTAATTACTCATCATCATCGTCTCCTTTTTATCATCTCTACTTCTACCTTTCTTTAACAAAATGGTTTCTGACTAACTACAGGTTGATAATTCTACTATAACCACAAAATAATTAACAAAATCATGTCTGTTGTAATCATATAAAAGCTCTTTTTGCCTACATACTATGGTATATTGTTTAAAGTTTTTGTATGTTACAAACAAAAGGGTTCTATATATTTAAACATGCTCATATATGCTTTTAACAATTGCTTCACCATTATTAGTGTTAAGCATATCACCACAAGCTTGAGCTACACTCTGTCACTCTAAGCTACCAAATCATATTTTTATGAGTTATAGGTATAATAATATGCCCCTCTACTATGACGTTTTATCAAACATGTCTCTTTTCTATTTCTTACATCAAATATGCCTCTGTACTTTGAAAAAATTATCAAACATACCCTTCTGTTAAAATTTTCATTGAAAAAATCGTCAATCGTGGTTGAACCGAGATTTAGATGACCCGACATCGGCAAATGGGAGGAAAAATGTCAGTTTTGTCCCCTGTTTTATTTCCCTGGGTCTTTTCAAAGTGAAATTATTTGAATGATTTGATTATACATAAGAACGAAAAAAATTCTAAAGTGAATTTATTATGGATATTTTAGTCATTTGTGTTACCCAAACTAAAGTTCGGCCTTTGTTAACGATTTTTGGATGAAAATTTTAACAAAAGGGCATGTTTGATCATTTTTACAAAGTACATGGGCATGTTTGATGTAAAAAATAGTAGAGGGGCAGGTTGATAAAACGTCATAGTAGAGGAGCATATTATACCTATAACCCTATTTTTATAACTAGGATTAACAAGTTAATCTAAACCGCCTACACTCAAACTCATAGAGGTATTTTGAAATACCTTCCCTTTGTTTTGTTTCAAGGGAACCCCTCAAATCTAGACCCTTTTAAACCCAAAACCATTATACAAACGACTAAATTGCAAGTTTGGTCACTCGAATTGCTACAAAATTTCACATTTGGTCACTCGAATTGATTTATTCCATTCATAGTCACTAAATTAGTTGAACAGTCCAATTTTGGTCACTCTCCATTAACCTTCGTTCGACTCCGTTAGTACCGTCAGTTAAATGCTGACGTGACTAACACAGGAACTTAGTCATCCTATTTTAACAAAAAAAAAAATAAAAAAGACATGCCACGTCATCAACCCCTCGATATCATAAACTCAACCCAAACCCAATCAACCCTTGAAACAACCCATTCACTCGTCCCCCCTCTTCTTCCCCAGCTCCGACCCCATTCAATCTCCTCTAAAAAAGTGAAAAGTCTCTCAAAGCATCGTAGTCACACGCAAACCAAAGGCAGCTTTCATACTACAAAAACCCCTTCGCTACGACAAACCCCGAAAGAAACGTTTACAAATCCCTAACTATCTTCTCCTTCCCCTTCTCAACTTTCCCCTCTTCAAGATCCGTGCTTTGAAGAAACTTCCTATAGTCGATCAACAGTAGCAGCCACCGCCGGACAGCTGCGGAGCAAAGAAAGGAAGCAGAAAAATGGCATACGTCGACCACGCGTTCTCGTTTACCGACGACGATCTAATGATGGACGGATCGTACACCAACACCAACCGTCCTCCCATCAAGGAGATCGGACTCGCCCTCTCCCTCCTCGTCTTTCGCATCATCGATATCGTCGTCGGCTTCTTCATGACCTCCAATAGAGTCTTCTTCGACAGAGCTCATGGTAAGATCCTTCTGTCCTTTCGTATCCCTAATCGCTTCATCCTCGTTTTTGGACTTGATTTGGCTGGGAGGGGGGGGGGGAGGGGGGGTTTAATTAGGGTTTGGATTTCTACCGCTCGGGTTTTAATTATGGCCATCGAAGTGCTGGGGATCGGTGTTAGTCTGGGAGTGGAGCAACCGATGATGTTGGATTGGGAGGAGGTCGAAGCGATGACAACGGTCAAGAGGGAGGATGTGGTGAGGGCAGTGCAAAGAGTGTTGGGCGGCGACGAGGAATGTCAAGCGATGAGGAAGAGAGCGACTGAGCTCGCCGGGATGGCTCGGGAAGCGGTGGAGAGCGGCGGATCTTCTTATGAGAATGTTACGAATGATTACAGTGCTCTATGGGGAGTTGAGAGACGTGGAGGAGCAAGCTCGGAGGCGGCCTTGTAAGGCTTCGACGACGACGAAGAGCGACGGGGTCTGGGATTTAGGTGAAAATTAGGCGGTCAATAATAGGATTTGGGAGATTGAATGGGATCGGAGCTGGGGAAGAAGGGGGGGGGGGGGGGAACATGTGAATGGGTTGGTTTAGGGGTTGATTGGGTTTGGGTTGAGTTCATGATATGGAGGGGTTAATGACGTGGCATGTCTTTTTTATTTTTTTCTGGTTAAAATAGGATGACTAAACACCTTTGTTAGTCACGTCAGCAGTTAACTGACGGTACTAACAGAGTTTGACGAATGTTAACGGAAAGTGACCAAAGTTGGACTGTTCAACTAATTTAAATGACTACGAATGGAATAAACCAATTTGAGTTACCAAACATGAAATTTTGTAGCAATTCGAGTGATCAAACTTGCAATTCATCCTCATACAAACACAACATGATTCCAGCCTAAACATTCTCCATATGCACCCATAATTAAATCCTCGAACACTAAACACCACACACAATCTCAATCGAAATCCCAGATTCAGCAACCCCAGATTTCACCCATCACAAACTCAAAGAATCCAAATTTGATACTATAGCCATGACAGACGAAGTAACCACAAGCAATAGTCTTTTAACAGTTAATTTTCCCCTTTGTTCATTTTAAAAAATTCTGGAACTTGAACCAAAATTCTGAGTTTTCCTTGTGGTTCTAAGTCTCACACCCCAGTTCTAAACACAACTTTCACAATCATAAATTGAATATAAAATACTAAATCAAGCGTACTATCGTAAACCATCAACAATTACCCAATCAAGAAGCCAGCAAATCAATAACAGCAAGTCAAAAACCAGCAATCAAGTAATACTCTAAATCAACACTGAATTTTATTAAAACATGGTTGATCGGTAGCCGATCTATTCTAGTTCTCGAGCCTGCCAAAGGGAAGTTAATTTAGAATCCACCAAGCAAACAAGATAATTCAAATATGAAATACACCAGGTCATGTCTGCCTCCGCCGCATCAGCCGCCGGCGACACCGCCAGTGCTCGCCGCCAATGACCTCACTATCTCCTCTGTTCGCTTTTCCCCTGTCTCTTCCTCGCAATAAAAGAAACCAGAAAAATCAATCGGAACCTAAAATACCCTATAAACAAAACTGAGCCTCCAAATATGAAATGCAAGCAAAAAAAAAACCCTCTTACCCTTACCGCCGGTAATACCCAGAACCGCCGCCGCGTCCATCGCCGGTAAGTCTTTCGCCGGCGGCGACCACGTTCTTTCTTCCCTCGATCGAGAACAAAACCCAAGACCCAATCGAATCAAATCAGAATCCGAAAACCCCCAAAATCGACATGCATAAGAAACCCGATCTTACCTTTGTCGCCGTCGATCTTCATCACGACGTACACCACCGTACTCCCTTCGCCGCCGCCATCGCTTCTTTCTCTCGGTCTCCGCGTCGTATCTAGAGAAGAAGAAGAATTGAAATTGGAGGAGGCAGATCGAGAAGTAGCGGGTCGAGAGTTGGAGCAGGGGAGATAGAAGGTTCTGGTATTTGTTGGTTTTTTTTTTTTTTTTTATAGGGGTTTTACCCCTCTGTTTCGGTTTCAATAAATAACAAGAGAGGAAGAAACGAGGCGGCTGATTGGTCTGGGGGACAAAAATAAATCTCATTTCTATAAATCACACTCTGCCACCGCCTCTCTCTAAAGAAACGAAACTAATGACATAATCCAAGTCTAGAATCAAACCTAGTAACTGGTGATGATCAGGTTAAATCTCCACTAAATGCTCTGTAGAACTAGACTAATCACACTTTGTATAACATTTGCTAGCCTCTTACTAATTTAAAATAAACAATCTTAACAAAAATCACAAATCAATAGATTGTGATCAAGAATTTGTGTTTTACATGTTATTCCTTTTCAATGCACATAATCCGTATTATTCCTTTATTATGTAATATTTATTATTGGTGTAATTACGTTTTGCCAAAAGTAATCATTAATATGAAACCACAAATCAATAGATTGTGGTTATCAAATAAAAAAAAATTGTTATCAAATCAATAGATTGTGTGTTTTATCCTACGTCAGAATTCTTTCAAATTATCAACCACCCAATTACCAAAATACATTTTCTAAAAACTAAAATTATCTTCATAATCACCGATCAATAGAAACATGTTTAGGTAGTTTTCTTCGTGAAAGCTTATTATCTTCCTAATCACGGATCAATAGAAACGTGTTTAGATGCCTTTTTCAAAAACCAGATCGAAATGATCCAACTAACATATTTTCTCAACAATTTAACGGGAAAGCGTTAACATTTCAAATCACAAAATTACACCGAACTACGTGGACTTTAACCCGACTACTCGGGTACGTAGGCAACCAATAGGTTTCAAGTTCAACTAATCAAAAATATTTTCTCTACATCTCAACGTGTGAGACTCAACATTTAAAATCTCTCAATTTCATCGAACTATGTGGACTTTGATCCCGACTAACTCGGATACGTAGGCAACCAATAGGTTCTTAGAGTCCAACCAATCTAAAAATCTTTTTTTACGTCAATAGACGTGAAAATCTGTAACTTTAAATTCAAAATTTACACTAATCATATCGTCCAATTGGACTCTAAAATTTACATTAAAAAATAATTAAAAATAATCAAATATTACGCTTAAATACACAAACAAATCACAATTGATAATACACCCAACCTCTAAAAACTTATCAATTTAAGTAGTACCATTTTTTTTTGGGTGTGTGGGGTGTGGATACACTTCCCACACGTAACCGTACTCCCGAACCCAAATTTGTAAAATTTCGCAGACCAAATCCCGGTTCTAAACCTAAGGTTTGAGCCGGACCAAAAGGTGCTCGATCCACTGTAAAATAAGATCGATGGCGGCTCCAATCAATTCTCGACGGGTCCCATGATTTCGAGGGCGGTTGCGACAGTGGCGACTCCGCTGGGGACTTTTGAGGGTCGAGCTACATTAATTAAATCGATAAGCTTTCTTTTCCTTTCTATTATATGTTGGGTGTTTATTATATATTTGTGCTTTCAATTTATCTCTTATGTAATTATTTGTATCATACATAAAAGCTCTATACCCGAGCTCTCCCTTAAGAAAATGAAAGGTGTACCGTGACTCTTACAATAGTAGGGGTCATGCGAAACTTTCTAACCAAGTTGAACTCAAATCCGAAATTGATTTGCGGTATTAGACTAGCTCGAAAGAGCTATATACGGATACAACTTGGGAACCAACACCCTAGGCTATCCTATCCTACATATAGTTTGCTTAGTAAAACTACCTAATCCTCAACTTATCCCAGAGCCTACCCAAAAACCACGATGTGATGTTGTTGAAATACCCTAGGTTTACCTAAATAGGATGGCATGTTTATGATGTTGAGTCATGTTTGCTTATGATATAATGACTTGTCATTTATCGTTGATTCATGAATGATGTGGTCAAATTGCTATGCAAAAGTATTTTGAAAAATCATGACATTAGCATTTTTTTCGTAAATTCGTCATTCACTCATTCAAAATTAATCATGAAAGTAATTTTACAAGCATCATGCATCAACTAAAAATACATCTTGCATATTGACTCGCACGAAACTACACTACAAATTAATCCCGACTAGAGCCCGAGTTTTTAAACTCTAGTAGGGTACAGTATAGGGCACGTATTTAGATATCGACCCGGTCCAGTCCGTCTACCCCTACTTCGGTTGTTGAAATCATTATCTAGCAACAAAATTTTTGTTTGAAGGTTTGCTAATTGAAATAAAAGAAAGCAAAGGTAAATGGTTTTGGAAACTCTTTTGTGGAAGGGTCACCCAGGTGTTGCTTCCCCCTAACTGCTACCATGATATGTAAATCGGAACAATTGCTTTGGGCACGACAATTGCGAACCGCAGAGGGATGCGTATATGGTCGGAGACCACAATCTCAATTGCTAAACCGAGGTAAGAATGAAAGGCCGTGTCACTCGACCCTCACGGTTTAGACAATCGGTAATCGACTTACTCCCTCACTCAACTCAAAGGTCGGACGGTTTGATCGCAATTAACCGATTTTCTTAAGTCAACATTGAGGGTTTCCCTACCTTAACCTAGTTAGGTGGCTTAGAAATCAGAAGGACAACCAACTCGATTGAGTCTCCCTTGAAAGGGGGGTTTTCCTATCTAAGCTAGGCTAAGGTGGCTAATTAGATTGCTAGCACCAACATGCACAAACCTAAGGGTGCTAAGCAGTTGTATGCACAATCCTTAGGTTGCTAAGCACCTAAATGCACAAACCTAAGGATGTTTAGCACAAAACATGCACAACCCCTACGTTGCTAAGCACAAGCATACACAATCATGATAAATAATGCCTCAATCATTCAATTGAACAATACCCAATGACAATCATCCAATACACATAAAAGAAAACTACATGGTAGAGTTAGGGTTTCATAACACCCAAGTGAAAGGAAGTCTACTCCATGCTAGAAGTGGGGAAAACAAAAGGGCAAGAGTTGGAAACCATCTTGGAGGATGCTCCCAGTCTTCTTGGCCCTTGAGTTGAGCTTTTCTTGGAGGAAATCTTCCCAAAATTTTCCTTGAAACTAAACCCCAGCCTTCTTCTCCCTTTGGTTCATGTTTCTCTCTCTAGAATGTTGAAGAAGGCTTTTCACACAAAATAGGGCTCTCCCCTCTCTCCTCCTTTCAGCTCATCATTTAAACCAGAGATGAGCTGAGTTCACGGCCGTGAACCACGAAATGCGTCCGTGAACTTCAGGCGTACGCCAAAACGCACCGCATTGTTCACTTCTGTTCACGGTCAACTGCCTTTGTTCACGGTCTTAGAGACCGTGAACTCACCATGCGTCAGTAACCTTCATTTTGGCTCTGGACACCTCGCGATTCACGGTCAATGGCTCTTCTTCACAGTCTTGCATGACCATTAACTTCCTAGGAAGGCAGTGAATCAGCCCTTTTCCACCT